TTTTATTGACAGTAACACAACATTTGGTGTTTTCCTAAAGACCTGACTCTGAGAGGCAGATGATGGCACAAGATTGTCAGCTTTCTCTGCTTCTAATTGCAGACAGGAACTTGCAAACCCTCCAGACTAAAAAAAAAAACAACAAAAAAACAACCAACAACAACACAAAAACTGGAGGCAAAGAATAACTCAAAATGCATATTTTTAAAGCCTGTAATTGATAAAATCAAATTGACAAACTAGAAGGCCTAGCAGGGAATTTTAATTACAGCACTGGTAATATTGTAGCAAAATCTCAGCCTTCCTCATATCAGCTGGCACTAGCAGGTGCATTTTTCACATCAGAGGCTCCTTTTGTTATCTTTTTTTTTCCTCCATATTTTTCAGCGTCTAAATCACTTTATACATTATAGCTATTTGCTATTTTATATCAGTTTTGATTTTTTTTTGTTTTTTTTTTTTTGCTATGTGTACAGTCTGAACACTGCCTACCCTTTCTCCTCTGCTCACTCCTGCCTTGCCCAGAACCTTCTAGCTTTTTCCCCATGTCCTTCTCCAGTCATGTAGACTGCAGTGGCCCAAAACACTTCTGTGCAATGATTCTGCATCTTTTCAGCTTGTTTGTTTCACATAAGCTCCATCTGCTGGTTAAAGCTAGAATCTGTATGAGTTTTCACTGCGACCTGCAAATACTACTTTTCCCTCTTTGAAAATAGACCACATCCATATTCTTCCAGTGGTGTTCTCGTGTCTGCCTAAAGGTAAAGTTTAATTAATGACCACGTAAGCTATTATTTTACAGGGCAAATTTGGGTCAAGTTTATGCAATATTTTAAAACACTTTTTCTCTAGAATTGGAGTGGGTAATCATTTGGAATGATTTTTCAGCACAATATTACTGTTATGGAAATCTCTCTGGCACTGCATGCAATTCCCACTGCTTCTGTGCTCTTGCTAATGCGTAGCCGCTACTGCTTGGTTTTGGCACATAAGGAACAGGAATGAACTTGCGACCTGGACGTTCATAGAGAGTGAGTCTGTAATCCAGCTACCACTTGAACTTTTACCTTCGGGTTTTAACATTTAGAAAGCAACGGGAGTATTTTTATGTATCCTGGGAGTCTCTCCAAAATATCTATGATTATGAATGGGAGTATTTTTAAAGACTACTAACAATTCTTTGGTTTTCTCCCTCGAGTGGAAACTTAGTGTAACTGCCTACACAGTAAAGTCTTTTTTTCACATTTACGCTGAACAGTGGTGAATACCGATGAGGTTGATTTCATATTGCTGAATCTACTCAGTAAGACAACCTGGTAATTGCCATAGAAACAGATTCTGCAGACTTAAACCTTAATTCTACTTTTAAATATCATATATAGACCTGAATCACTACAGAGCGTATAATCAGGCTGTGTAAACAAAAATGATTCTGCATCAGAGAAACAGCAAGCCTGTTTTTCATCCCATCAGATGCTAATTGTGTTCCCACCTTCCCCTACTTCCAGCCCACAGCATGACAAATTGAACCTCCTTCCCCTTATGCACCAAGTCCTATCTCCAGTGCCTGCTCAGCTTGTCACTTTGGTGCAATGGGGAACAGAGGCCATGTGTGTGAAATGAATGTGGTCCTGGCAGGAGTGTCACAGATTTTCTATTGCTACCCAGCCACTTGCACAAGCTAGAGGGCAACTGTATCTGAAGTTGGGAGTGAAGGTCCTGCTACTCACTCTCAAAAAAAAAAAAACATGAGCAGGATCTAGCAGGTGCTTCCTGGAACATATCTACCCTTGGGAAAAGAGTGGCAACTATGCTACTCTGTGTTTTTGTAAATCTTATGTACATCTCTCTTTAAACAAATAAAACATTCTTGCATTTTTTTTTCATATCACTGGGTTATGCTCAGATATAAGTAAATGTTTTGGTGTATTATTGTGCTCTTTGTTTTTGTTATGGTTTCCATGCTAACAAATAGAAGGCATTACTTTTGGAGCAACCTATGTAATTGTTTAGCCAGTTCTCATGCTGCTATTTAACATTCCAGGGGAAAAAAAAGCTGATGCTTAACAAGAAATCATAACCTTAATTTTGTTTAAATACTGCATGTGTTTTCATCCTCATTAAATCCATCTAAAAAGGGTTTGTGTTTCCTCCTTTTAGTCTCACCCTATTCCTGCCAGAAAACACATAATTTTCAACAAGACCGCTGGCAGTTTTTCCGAACAACATGGGTGCTTTAAGAATCTGGTCTAAAATGGCTGTAGTAGCTTAAGGTTTTTCAAATAAAACCCTAGTAACTATGTGTTTTGTGTCTTATTCTGTGTTCAAGTGATATTGTGAACTTATAGGCTGCTTGAATGTACTGGAATATGCTTTTCTTTAAAGCAAAAACTGACCTGTATGGATAATCCAGATATAAACCACAGTCACTGGACCTTCTCATATGGAAACAGTTCATACAATGACTTGAAAATTATTATTAGTTTTTTTTTCTTAAGCTATATTTTACAATACTTATTAAGTGCACTAAATCAAGTAGTATTTTGAAACTGTGTGTTTGTTGAGAGAATTTTCACAGAGTGTATTATTTTTCCTTTTAATATATGGTAGAAAAGCACACAACTTCCAGGTATCAACAAATCTGGAACAAAAGGCTGTACAGAAACATAACTGATTCAGATCTGAAAGGCTTGCGTGTACATTGTCTGGCATGCTGCATACCACTGAAATTAATGAAACTGTTGAGAGTCTGATTACTCGTCTGCTTAAGTGTATTGAGTCCACTGTAACCATCTGTTTGCTGTCTGAAGGCTCTTGTCAATAGTTTAATGACTTCAGAGCATATTCTTCTTGTTCTGTAGACTTCATATAGTGTTTCTACATAATTAAGCAGCTTTGTTAAAGGAACTGCCATTAGTTGCCCCATTTCATTTTGTTATCATCCAACCAGAAAGAAAAAAGAATAACAAGAGAAGGCTACAAATCCACTCTCGTGACTGGGAGATTTTTTTTTTAAGATTCATGGAGTAACATAAAGCAATGTTGTTATGTCACACAGTTTAAGCAACTTTAACCATTTAAATATATCAGACTCTTAAGAGACTTCTGAAAGCCTTCCATTATGTTTTGGAGCTATACATTTTAAAAGCAGCTCTGATGAAAAAGCACATAAATATCAGTTACATTTCTAACAGTCACTAAATAGAACCAACAATAGTGGTTTTGTAGCCAATACAGTTAAAAGACACATAAGAAATGGGTATCTCGATTTATTTTAAGGTTTGGTCAATTGAATATTCTTTGATATTCTATATGATGAATCACAGAATTATGGAATCACAGAGTTGTAGGGGTTGGAAGGGACCTCTAGAAATCATGAAGTCCAACCCCCTGCTAAAGCACGTTCCCTACAACAGATAGCACAAGTAGGCATCCAGGCAGGTCTTGAATATCTCTATAGAAGGAGACTACACCATCTCTCTGGGCAGCCTGTTACAGTGCTCTGTCACCCTCACTGAAAAGAAGTTCTTCCATACGTTTGTGTGGAGCTTTCTATGTTCCAGTTTTTGACCATTGGCCATTGTCCTATTGCTACACACCACTGTGAAGAGCCTGGCCTTATCTAATTGCTTCCCACACTTCAGATATTTATAAACATTGATCAGATCCCCTATCTTCTCCAGGCAGAACAGACCAGGGTCTCTCATCCTTTCCTCATACGGGAGATGCTCTAGGCCCTTTATCATCTTTCTTACCTTTTCAAGGAGACTCTAAGAGATCCCTATCTTTTTTGAGTCCAGAATTGGACACAGTAGTCTAAATGTGGCAGAATGGAGAAAGAGGATCACCCCCCTCGACCTGCTGGCTGCACTCTTTTTAATGCACCCTAGGATACCACTGGCCTTCTCAGCCACCAGGGCACACTGCTGGCTCATGACCAACCTGTTGTCCATCAGGGCACCCCACCCCTCCGTGGGGCTCCTGTCCAGCAGGTCATCCCCTAACCTGTACTGATGCTCGTAGATAAACAACATACATTTAATTTAATTGTTCATATTTAGGAGAAACCCCTGATGATTTTCTTTAAATACACAAAAGAACTTGAAAAATGAATAATTTCTAGCATTTTTGAAGTCTTTGGAATAAAGGGACGACTTCAGACACATTTGCTTTTTCCTCTGTTTCAGTCGGTCTCCTTTTGGGTCAATCCTGACGATCCTGCCACCCTTTGCAGATAAGGAAACAGCCCCTGTTTTCTTCAGGGCTTTGGTGTGTGCAACTGCCCGGTGTTATAAACAAAAGTGAAACGCTAGAGGTCCATAGGAGCAGAACCTTTGTGTCTGTTCAGAGCTGCCCTTGAGGCAGCCATCTTGTTGTCGATGGTGTCAGCCATCTTGTTGAGAAACACTTGCAGCAGCTTTGCCCCCATTTTCCACCCAAACTTCACACACCTCATTTTTAGCATTTCATTGTTCTCATATTAAATGATCACTTCTGCAATTTGATTTGGTTGTTCCCTATGTCTCTGTGATCAAAGGTTAAACAAAACGAATGGCACAATTTATGCTGTTCTGAGCATGTGAGTATTTGATCAAAGATGCTCACACCAGTCGGGAACGGAGTGGTATTCGTGGAACAACGAATCCTAACTACAGCCAGCACCAGCAAAGCACCGCTGTTGGCTGTTGCTTTATGTACTATTTTAGCTCTAAAATATCCTAACACTCTGCAGACAGGTGCTTTTTTCCCGTCACATCCTGTTATACGCGCTCAGTAAAACGACCAATTGCTGAGCAGTGGTTTTAGCGGGCTCACTCGGCCCCACACGCGTCACCGCCGCGGGGCCAGATCCCCTCAGCGAGAGCCCCGCCTCGCCGCCGCCGTCCTCTACGATGGGCGTCAGCGCAGCACCCAGGACTACAGCTCCCGGCATGCCGCGCGCCCCGAGAACTACGCTTCCCGGCGTGCCCGGCTCCGGCGTGGGGGTGGCGCTATGCGGTCGAACCGGCCGGGCGCTGCTGGGTGTAGCGGGGTGCGCAGCGTGCGGCGGGACGCGAGCGGGCTTGCCGGCGGCAGATAGCCGCCCAGCGCCAAGATGGCGTCCATGCTGCTACAGAGCTGCGGCCGGCGGGCCTGGCGCCTGCCCCGCGCTCTGCGCCGCCAGGCCCCGCAGGGTGAGGCTCCGGCGGCCCCGAGGGAAGCGCGGCCCTGCGTCGCCGGGGTGGGGGGGGGAGCTGAGGAGGGAGCGAGGGCTGGAGCGGGAGAGGCGCTGCGGGGGCTCGCGGTGCGGGCGGAGAGGTCGCGGCCCAGGGCCGGGCCCGGTTCGCGGCGTGGGGGAACGTGAGGCGCTGAAGGCGTCCGGTCCCGTCAGGGCCCGAGGCCTTGCTGCCCCGTGGCTGCGAGGCGCTGCTCTCAGCGTTGCGCCCGTCTCACCGTTCGTCCCTTACCTTACGTTATGAAGGCGGTGTAAGTTCAATTTCATCCAAGCGGCTCTGAAGGCGGTGGAAAACAAAAAGGAAGCTGAGCCATACGCGTGATACGGTTTCTATTACTGAGATAACTTGGCAGTTGAAATATCTCAGCGCCGTGCAGTTTAAGGACATGGAGCAGCTGATGCCCTGTGACGTCCATCAGCCTCACGCCTGCTTTTTACGTCCGGGATCTGGAGCGGCCAGGGTTTAGCTGTGGGGTGAGGAGAGCTTAGCTGTCATTGCTTTCCTGCTGGTTGGACAGCTCATCCTGGAAAAAAACTCATGCTGGAATGCTGTGGTAAAATCAGATAGCTTTTGTGCTGTAGTGCTCTATGCTTATGGTATCTTCAGTACTTTTAATGGAGCATTAATCCATTACTAATGATATTTTATGGTGTCATTTTTTCATGGAATCATTAAGGTTGGAAAAGACCACTGAGTTTGTCCAGTCCAACCATCAACCCATCTCCACCACATCCCTCAGTGCCACATGTCCACATTTCTTGAGCTCCTCCAGGGACAGCGACTGCCACTTCCCAGGGCAGCCTGTTCCAGTGCTTTATATCTCTCTCAGAGTGGTTTTTATGTGATGTTTTGCTTTACTTACCTCATCTCCTTTGCTTTACAGGTCAGTAATCTAAGATTAAGTTAAAGCTAAGTGCTCCTAGGAATCCTAAATGTTCTTCCTGTACAGATCAAGCTGCTTACACTTTGTAGGGACTTAATTCCTGTCAGCAAGACCCTTATTGCAATAACAGAACACAGCTATTCTGCATCACAAGCTTTCATTCTAATGTCTTATTACATTTAAAGTGTTCTGATTGTATTTTTTTCCATGAGGAATATGTGTATGCATATCTTTTCTGACACTCACTTTCCCTACTCATACTATTGCAAATTCTGAAGTTAACAGTGTTGAGCATGGTGAGCTGTATTCATCTTGCTCAGACATGTCTGGATTTCTGTCCTACTCCATAGGCCAGAAGCATGAACTTTGCTCTTTTCTGAAGAAAGCAAGTATTTCACTTCAGGGCTGGGTTGCTACCAGGTACTGTGATTAGAACATAGATTCAATGTAACATACAGAGATCTTGTAGTCAGAACTAGCCATGTTCAAATTTAGTTACTCTCTAGAATGCTCCGTTGACATCCGTGTTTCTGTGTGCTCGTTTGCATTCCAAAAGGCAATATGACAAGAGTTGTTGGAGTCAGCATGTTTTCTTTCATATGGTAACTATAGAGTTTTGTTCTTTGCCCTTTCCTTGGAATTAATGAGTCCTAGCTGGAAGACAAAGTTAAATGAAAGCATCTTGCTCCTACTGAGTTTTACCAAAGAAACTTAAAGCCAACTTTGATCTTTTCCATATCATCTCTCTTTGTCCTATGAGCACCTGTCTGTAGCAGGTAATGCCCTCTGCCAGTAGGACTCTCATTTTTGACACGTGCTTTGTGTACTTTCTGGCACTGAGACAGAAAAACATACGGTTTTGGGGCTCATCTGTGAAGATCCTGAATGCTGCTGGCTTGTTCAGCTGTTCTCAGGAGCGCCTTTTTGATAGGGCTTGATTCTCAGGTCAGGGAACTCATCCACTGATCAGAATGCCTTCACAGGTTCCCAAGGCTGGTTTGTGAGCCAGAAGGGCTGTCTTTCTCCTCTCTCTTGAGATCGGTAAATCCTTTTCCTTTGACTTTCTAATGCCATAACTTCAGTGACATCAAAGCCCACTTAGCACAGTACATCCAGTGATTGTTGAGAGTGTTCTTTGGTAAATCAACTTTTTTTTTTTTTTTTTTTGCCCCCCTCACTTTTCCTTCTGTTGTGCCTTTTGAAGTCCCTACCTGATTTTGGAGATTCTCTTCCTGTAATAATTAGGCTGTGTTGCTGGGAAATGCTTTTGCCAGTCAGATTTGGTACTTTTTCTCAGGTATGACTACTTCTACTCAGTTTCTCTTATAGGTTGTATCTTAGCTTTGATATTAAAAAAGTTGACCAGTAACCTTGAAAACGGATCTTAAACTCTGCCATCTCTTGGAATTGACCAGAAGTAGTGTAGTAGGTGGTAATCCATCTGGGTTGTCTAATACTGTGTTGTTGTGAAGTCATTCAAAAACTGCATTTGCTTTCAGTGATGTTGTTCAGAGTTGCAGTTGTTTGTCCAAAGGACTCAGAAACCTGTCAGGCAATTGAAAAGTCCATGCATTACCTTACATTCCACAGAGTTTGGCTGTGTATGTGGGCAGTTTGCTTGCACATGTATGGAGATGTCAGCCATGTTACTAGAAGGGCTTCCTGCCCTTCTGTTTTCCCATTTTATCCTATGAGTCAGAAGATTGCAGACTGAGAGAAATGTGGAGAACGTGCCACGTATTTTGATTCCTGTTGGAATAGGATGAGGTTTTTGGTCTTCAGTACTTCACTTGCCATTGTCAAAGGAAAAGCTCCTCCTTCTTGGCTGTTTGAGATGAACAGTCATCCCAACTGTGAATGTGCTTACAATAAAAATCCAGTTGCATAACAGCAGTTTCTTTGTGTTTTTATTGGTAACTGCTTCTTAGTAAGACTGGTCGTTTTAGATCACATTTGTGTACAATTCACTATATGGATAAATGTTTTTCCGAATTCAGATTGAATGCTAATAATTGGTGTTTTTCTAGGTAACTTGGGAGATCGGGCTTGTCTTAGTTGTTCATCCCTGAGGTTGGCAAACAAAATGTAAGTAACTATGAAACGTTTTTTCTAAGCTCAAAGCTGTACCAAACACTTGGTTATTATACTATAACGAAACACTGTTTTCACTTCTGTACTCAAAGTGCCAGCTTTATCCTGTCACTGACAGACATAAGGAAGACTGGGAATAATTCTCTTCACCTAACTGATTGTATGTGGGAGAAAGTGGTATCTTTTCCTTTTTCATCCCCTTTCACTCTGTTTCCTTAAGATGTGAAAGCAATGGAGTATTATTTTTCTGTTCTTGCCTGATTCCAGGTGACATAATGGCATATCGTGGGTTCCATGCATCCTTTCTCCATGGAATTCCTTAGTGTCTTAAGTATTCAGACAAGGGTAGTTTGAAATACATAGTTGTCAGTTAGGAACTTAGTCACTTGAGTTGTACCTTGGTCAAACCAAGACAGTGTTCTGTACATTACAGCCTTGACTGAGGCTCATTGAGGAGATTATGGTCTCTTTTGCAAGTAAATCCAGTTGTTCTGTGCTCTTATGTCACATAAGGATCTGGATGAGAGAGTCCATTCTCCTTCTGACCTGCCTTACAAGTCATATTTATAGATATACATTTTCTAATGCTTTTTGTTGGAATAAAATATGTTGTCTAGTTTATTTAGTCTGACTGTTCAGTAAACAGTGACCATTCCTCAGTTTTGTAAGTTTCTATTTTATCGTAAGGGTCTTGCAATCACAGAATCACAAGGTTGGAAACGACCTGCAAGATCATCCAGTCCAACCACCCTCCCATTCCTATTAGTACCATAAGCTACTAAACCATATCTCGTAGCTCCTCATCCAGGCGCCTCTTGAACACTGCTAGGGACGGCGACTCCACCTCCCTAGGCAGCCATTCCAGTGCCTGACCACCCTTTGAGAGAAAAAGTTCTTCCTTATGTGCAACCTAAACCTCCTCTGGTATAACTTCTGGCTGATTCCTCGGGTCCTACTATTTGCCTGGGAGAAGAGGCCAGACCCTTTTGCACCACAGCCTCCCTTCAGGAAGTTGTACAGTGCAATGAGGTCCCCCCTGAGCCTCCTCTTCTCCAGACTGAACAATCCCAGCTCCCTCAGCCGCTCCTCATAACACTTGTGCTCCAGACCCCTCACCAGTTTCGTTGCCCTTCTCTGGATACATTCCAGGACCTCAGTGTCTTTTTTGTAGTGAGGAGCCCAAAACTGAACACAGCACTCAAGGTGCGGCCTCACCAGTGCTGAGTAGAGGGGGATGATCACCTCCCTGCTCCTGCTGGCCACGCTATTTCTAATGCAGGCCAGGATGCCGTTGGCCCTCTTGGCCACCTGGGCACACTGTCGGCTCATGTTCAGCCGAGCATCAACCAACACCCCCAGGTCCCTTTCCTCTTCGCAATCATCCAACCACTCATCCCCAAGCCTGTAATGCTGCATGGGGTTGTTGTGGCCAAAGTGCAGAACCCAATACTTGGCCTTGTTAAACCTCATCCCATTCACCTCAGCCCGGTGATCCAGCTTATCTAGATCCCTCTGCAGGGCTTCCCTACCCTCAGGCAGATCGACGCCACCTCCCAACTTGGTGTCATCTGCAAACTTACTCAATCTGATACAAAACATAAAGCGATTCCTTTCTTCAGTATTGTCAGTTCTGTATCACTTGCTACATAATTAATTATGAGAGGCTTTAATATATAGACTTTTTTCAAGTCTCAGTTGGCTTTTTTTATAGATTGCTATGATGCATGATGCTATATTCTCTCTTTGGGAAGTATTAAAACTTACTGATTTACTTCTGTAATATAAACAGAATGTTGTGACAGAAATCACTGGTTTTTAGGTTGTAGATTGGTTTGTTTGTTTTGAGAAGCTCTTGTGCTAAAAGCTGCTGTTACTTTGATGTTGCTCCTTAAAATAAAATGAAACAGATGCCTGCACACATCCAAGATTCAAAGCAGGAGAGCTTGGGAAGAAAGCTCTGCATCCAGCATCTTGTAGTGGAAGTGTATTCAAAGAGAGGCATTTCTTGTCTTCTAATGTGTGTCTGTTGTTTCAAGTTATTTAATAACACTTTCCTTCTGACTTCAGTTTGTATTTAATATAAGAGAAAGAGCCACATTCTGTTAGTCCTGTGTGCACCACCTCAGAACCACAGTGGAAGTTCACGTGTAAAGTTTCTTCTGAAAAAAGAAAACAAGATCAGGGGAGAGAGTAAGGGAGGAACTCCAATGAAATCAGATCTCTCTGATGCTAATCCTCTTCCCCTAACTCAGTACCTGACCCAAGCCTACAGTCTACAGTATCTTAACTGTTTTGTTTAAATAAAAGAAATAATAGAAGGGTCTTTATGTTACTTATGGTTTTACAGATTTATTTTCAAGTGGAGAGCACTTCTGTTTGCTGCTTTTCATTTAACTTGTGTAAAATAAGTTACTTTTTCCAAGTAGTTTAAAGGAGAATCCACTGCAGAATTTCTTCAGGTTTTGTTTTTTGTTTTGGTTTTGTTTGGCTGGTTTTCGTTTGATGGATTTGTTTGATTTGTTGTCAGATTTAGACATCCTGATCTTGAGATTTGTAAATAAATCTCTCTGAATAAGTGGTGCATGCATACATATTCCTCAGCCGACGCACCATGTATTGTTAGTTTTTAATGCTCTTTCTTCTTCTCTTTTGAAGGACTGTACACTTTAAATATTGCACTGGTGTTGCTCCTGTTTACACATACTCCAAAAAAGATCACTGCTGCTGGTGGACTAAAGCATCGGAACGAACGTATTTTACTCTTATGAGCTCTTCTGGCTCATGGATGCCCCTGGCAGCCATGGGTGTTTTAGGACCCAAGTATCTTCCGGTTAGGTGGTGGCATTCTTCACGTTCTCTTCAAGATGACTCCATAGTTGAAAAGTCCCTGAAGTCCTTAAAGGACAAAAACAAGAAGCTGGAAGAAGGAGGTCCGGTATATAGTCCAACAGAAGTGGAAGTTGTGAAAAAATCTATTGGACAGAGGATTGTGGATGAGCTAAAGCACTACTACCATGGTTTTCGATTACTCTGGATTGACACAAAAATAGCTGCAAGGATGCTCTGGCGAATACTGCATGGAAATACTCTGTCACGTCGAGAACGGAGACAGGTACTGAGTAAATACCAATTTCATTTTAGTATCCTTAATGATTGCTCCGTTTTATTTAACCTGAATTCATTCTTTTTTGTGTTTTCTTCCTAGAGTTAAAATGGCTTTATGAATTTCTCTCCTTTGCCTCACGTAGGCACTAAGAACTTCTGATTTGATTCCCAACTGTTTTAAGTCTTTTCCTTTGGTATGGCTCTTTGAACCTACCATTAAAACAACAAAATATGCTGTTTAGAAATGTGACTACTCTGTTTCTAAATGATACATGAGCATATATATCTTCTCTTGCTCTGTGTCTGGAGAAAAAAAAAGTTGGAGATAAATTCTTTTGCTAGTTAGAAAAGCTGATTTTTCTGCTTTGGCATGTGAGCAGCAACTGTGGTTTCTTCTCAAGTTCCCATCCAGTTACACGTGTAAACATGATCACTTTCTCTATTTTACGTTTTCAGCTGAAAAGATGGAGGCAAAACACTTCTAGCAAAAGTTGGTTTTGTGCCAACTTGGTTCTAAAAGCAAAACCAAAAAAAGAAAATAAAGTAGAAGATGTAGTTTAACTTCATGGTTAACAGTGTGGTGCTATTTCTGTTTCAGTTATAAATGTGTATGTGAGATAATTCTACTCTGAACAGATAACTTGAGAGAAGTCTTTATATTTTCCACATGCCGTGCAGCTTACAGTCTTTGAAATTGTGTAAAGATGACCATTTTAGAAAAGTTTGAAAGAATTTTTGAGAAGAAGATTTGGACAATAGATGTAAACAGCTTGTACAGATCATCAAATTGAGTTCTTTTAAAACTCAAAAACACTTCATCTGGTATTGAAAAAATTGTGGTGGATGAGATGTTTGAGAATAAAATGTGTATGTATTCTGGCAGCAGGAGTGGTTGGTGCCTCTGGTGGTTAAGTATAAATGTCTGCAGATTGGTGTGCTACAGAGGCAGTGTGTTAAATTTGGGTCCTAAAAACGTTCCTAAATGTTCAAAAACACGAATGCTTTAATGATTTACTGGTAAGCTTAGCTGCATAATCGAGCATTTTCATGGATAATTTGAAAACAGCACGTCTCAGTGAACTATGCAGAAATGTTTCTTTTTGTACATCTACCAGATCAGATGCATGACAGAAAGGTACGTGTGGTTTTCATCATTCATTGTGGCTGGGCTCTCTCTGCAGCAGCAGAGGTTGATGGCATTTGGTCCCAGCATCTTCACGCGACTTATTTTTGTTCTACTCTTTAATGCTGGTGTAAGAGTGTATTTGGCAGCTGAGCCAGTTAAATTGTTGCTCAGCAATAAATTTAAAAGTGTATGCTGACATAAGACAGGGGATTATGTAGTGCCAAGAAAGAGCAGCTGGGGAGAGCAGGGGAAACGAGGACAGCAGGACCTTGGGAAGTTCTTGTTTGGGGCTCTGGAGTACCGGGAAGACTAAGCAAAAGCAGTTAATTCACAGATGTCTTCCATAAGGCAGGACTGGAACCACTGGCTTTTCTGCCTGTTTCAGATCTGCTGAGCCATACTTCTGAGAAATTGCACAAACAGGAAAAAAGAGAAATCCCACAGAAGTGTTTCTGCTGAAAGATGAGAAGTGTGTACTAGAAGGCTTGAACAGTCAGGAGCAATGTGTTGTCTTTGGATGAGCACGCCCCATCCAGTCAGTAGAGGAGTTTATTCACTAGATTCCTCTCCAGTGCTGACGTCCAGTGAGCATAGAGCTGTCTTTCTCATAGCTGTGTAGTTGTTTGGCCTTCCTGGATTTTATTTATTGCAGATGAGAGCTTCCACAGTTGATTCTCTTATTTTAAATAAAACAGAAGTTTCTTGCATAGATAAAGTTGGTGTTTACATTGGTAAAGCTTCTCTAATGATGAAATCTGTAGGCACTCCAGTGCAGAAATTGTAGGGAAAAGCAGTTTGAAGAACTGTTTTACTGTTTTACTTTCTCAATCTAAGCTGTGTACATTCTTCATATGGAGGTAGAGGATGTCGTGCCTCTGGAATGGAAGAGTCGTGGTAGGCCTTGAACCCTGGCCAGTGAAAAGCAAAGCGATCTGCAGCTGAACGAAGCCCCTTGCACGTGCTTCTTTAAAGCCTTATTTAGGTTTGTTTCAGCACAGTTTTTTGTTTTTTTTATTATTATAGCAGATCATCCTTAAATTGTGGTGTGACATCTGATTTTAAAGAAGTCTTAAATCTTTCATGCTAGGTATGTAGGAGTTGTGCCTGAAATTCTTAGTATTTGAAGTGCATACTGATTTAAATGTAATAAGCCATGTCTGAACCAACAGTCCTAGAAAAATCTTATCTTCACTCAAACTGACAAATGAATTATTTCTGCTTGCCTTTTCCTTCCTCTTTGGAGGCAATAATGGAAAGATATCTGAGTAATCTAACCACATTAACAAGCAATTGCAGCGTGGTTAATGCAAGGACGCTATTGCTTATGTAAACCAAAACTCAGTTACAAAATTCTGCTTGTACAATTGCTGGCAGGCTTTAGATTCAACAGCATCACTCGTGTACATTTAGATGATAAGTCAGGAAAAATTAAATGTGTAAAGTATGATACTGACTGTTCAAAAACTAATTTCTCTAATGATGCTTTTTGCAGCAGGGATGTTCAGGGCATTAAATGCTATAGAATTGGTGGCAAGTATATTGGCTCTGCAGAGCCTTCTGTCCTGCAGAAGAGTGGAGAGTTGAGTGGTGCAGTACACGAGCTGTAGCAGGGGATACAGAGCAATCACAAGTTCTTCACGCTACTGCCAAGCAATGTGTGGAATCATGCACCACTGTATTCAGTCTCTGTGCAGAGCTCTTAGTGTAGGTCTGTGATTTATGTAAGCTGAGCCAGGGCTGTGCTGCTGCAGCCTGGCTTGGTGCTTAAATGCAAGATCTCCCCCTTGCCTACTCTGTCTCCTTTTGTTTTGCACTGATCTGCATCCTGTGTGTGTGTTTACACATCAGTTTTAGCTGGATTGGAGGTGTGCCTGCTAGTGCACGTTTAATATGGCATCTCAGATTAACTTAATCTGGTTGTAAAACTGCTTCCTTAGATTTGGATTTCATCTTAGATAAGTACCTTCAGTATCTAAATATAGAGAGTGGGTAGAAATAGGAGCAGTATATTGCATTCTGTGTATTTTTTTGAAGTCTTTTTCCTCAGGGAAAATATCCGTTCTTCTGACTCTTAACATTCCCTTCTGAACTTTCTTACATCCTTTCGAACTCTCTGGTTGTCATTTATCTGCTATTGTTGGAGTGAATGGAAATGCCTTTGAGCCTGCAAACAATGGACAAAGCTTCCTTTCTGGGAAACTGCATTTTTTTATATAGAAAGAAAAATGCTGGCCTTTGCATCTGCAGAGCTTGTGCTTAAACTGCATATAATACTTCTGGATGGTTTTATGCTCAGAAAATGGATTAAAGCTGTATTGGTTTTGTACTTTAGCAAAGCTGTTCTGTAGCAGCGTGCAGCCTGTACTGCCTGTTGCTCTCCAGATTGGCACAAGCTGTGGGGAGGGGATGCAGGGGGGAAACGCACATTTACTTGTGTGGTAGCATTTCTGTTGCTATTTTCTGCCAGTCATAACTGTTTATTAAGTCATAGTGCTGACTGACAGTGCTGGGACAGTAGTGCACTTCTGGCCTTTCTCTGATTTAGAAACTGATGTTATTCCCAGGAACTGGTTATTTATGTTACAAAACAGCACACTGCTCTAATATAAACCAAATTATTCAGCTCCACAGTCGTAAAAATTTGATTATAGACTGTACAGCCTAATACATGCAGTTGTGGGTGTACAGAAATCAAAAGGATGATATTTATTTCAGGCCATTCTCAACTCAGTAACTAATGCATCTGCCTGCTGCAGTGGGCTACTGCTCGAAAAAAGCCATGATTTAAACACAACAACAAAAAAACAACAACAAAACATCCTTCTACAAAGCAGAGCTCATTACCCTGGGTTTAAATGTATGTTACAATTGTTAGAAGGCAGAGGGGAGGAGCCCTTCATTTTACTCTTGATTACTCAGTCTGCAGCAGCTCATGCATGTAAGAAGTGGTGGAGCACAAATAAAGATGAATAAAAGAGGTTAAGCAGATTTAACAACAACAAATGACCACCTCCTGTTTTCAGGTGCTTTTAAGAGGTTTAAATGAGATACTTGCTCAGTAATCCTATTGAGACACAGTGAAGGTTTTGAAATGCTTTCTGTGGTATTAAAAATGGTGACTTGGTGCTCTGTAGCATATAGTAACTATAAGAAAAGATACCAAAAATTGACTGACTTCTTCACATTCTCTCTTTTTGTGTTATGTTACATTTCCTTTCTAGCAAGTGCACATGTGCAGGTGTTTTTGGTAAGGCAGATGGTTTTTTAAATAAAGGTATCAAGGTTTTTTAAATAAATGTATGAAACTTTGCTTATCTGTACATTTGTATTATTTCCTCCAGTTTCTTCGGATATGTGCTGATCTCTTCCGCTTGGTTCCTTTTCTCGTGTTTCTCGTTGTCCCATTTATGGAGTTTCTGCTTCCAGTAGCTCTAAAGTTGTTCCCTAATATGCTTCCCTCTACGTTTGAGACAAAGTCTAAGAAGGTAAGTCTGAATTTGTGATCCAGAAAGATGTTTGGAAGAACTTAAGCTTGTGTTGTGAATGTTACCTGAACGTATTTTATACCTGCTGTACCTGTTTGTAGAATCTCATAATAAAAGTAGTCATTTCATTCTTGGTTGTAGGATGAAGTGTCTTCTGAAAAATATGGTGTTGTAAGCAATAAGCATTGTAGTGGTTCATTTTATTTTTATTTTATGGGGTAGGAAAATGCATGTATTGTTACAGTCCAGATCACAGTTTACAAGTTATTTTAGTCTAAAAAGATTTCAGCAAGAAGATTTGGCAACTTACATTCAATTGATATTGAGCTGTTCTAATGATGTGTAGAGCTTTATATTGCTGTATAAAGTCATAATATATTACTACTAAGTAAACAGGTTTTTTTTAGGACAAAGTAAAATTTTAAATGAGTTGACAAGAGATAAGGAATTAGAGAGATCTACATGTGCATTATTGGTAGCTGTGCATTTCAGTAGGGTTAGGAGGTCAGGATTTTAAAGTAAACAGTGCTTCAGTATTTGCTGAATTGTGTTTCAGTTTCTTGTTTTGTCATCTATGTATGGAAGAGAAAATTGCTATTTAAAGTAGAAACGGGAAAACAGCTGTTTAACTTATGAAATAAAGACAGGAAATAATGTTCAAAAGTTACATATATGAGCAACTGAACTTGAGATGTGTTTTTATAGGACTGAGAGGGATTTTAATGCTGATTACTCGAAACGATCTACTATAGACCTGTGTTCTGAGTACTTCTTTATTCTAGTATTTGACCTAAATAATGTTTTAGCTGCATCCAACACTTATTTTAGGTCATTATCAATGATGACTACAGTCAAAGTATTGGTGAATGTTTTTTGTCTGCCTTCATGCTGTTTTGATGGGTGCATGTCAGCAGTAGTAGGTGAGGCCTTAAGATCTACTTTCTTGTTGGCATTGCACCTCAAGCTTTGTGGAGCTTCCAGCTGGTTGGCCTGTCTTTTAATGTGGTTTGGTGATCTTTGTGTACATGGCCTGTTGTGAAATGTGTTACAGCAGAAGTTCAGAAACAGCATATAAATAACTCGTCTGAGGGCAGAAGTTGTGGTATTTTAGCACAGATATTTCTGGATGAAACCTAAAAACAACGTTGTTTTTTTTTGTTTGTTTGTTTTTAACAGGAGGAAAGATTAAAGAAACAACTGAGAGTGAAGCTTGAATTAGCTAAATTCCTTCAAGATACAATTGAGGAGATGGCCTTAAAAAATAAAGCAGCTAAAGGAAACGTTACAAAAGATTTTTCAACATTCTTTCAAAAGGTAATTGTCTTTTTTTTAAAGTGTTTTTTCATTTGTTCCAACCCCCTGCTATGGGCAGGCACATCTCCTTCTAGACCAGGTTGCTCAAAGCTCCATCCAGCCTGGTCTCAAATGCTTCCAGGGAGGGGGTATTCTTTTCTTGTTTCTTTGTTCATCAGTTATTCAGACATCAGAAAGATAATACATGCAGTGAGTGACAGCTCATGTTGTTTTGGGCCTGTTTTTATGAACATTGAGTATAAAATGTGAAGAAAAAATGTTTCCTAATTACCTGATTAAAACTCATTGGGGAAGTATAAAATTTGCCCCTCTCTTTTTTTTTTTTTTGATATATTTAATCCCGTGTATAAAGAATGTTTTTCAGCAGTTTCTGTGCTGCTCCTTCATGATAACGACTAGAACTTAGGATTTTCCTGATATGTTTGGTACAAAATTTCTCTATTAGCAAGCAGTTGCTGGAATAAAGATTGAACATCAGATATCTGCCTCCAAAATGGACTGTCTCTTGGTTGTTAGTGTTTCCATTCACTGAGTTGGACGTAAGCTATTCTCTGGGGAGATAAAGAATACCTTCCTAAATCTCCTCAGCATAGGATTCATCTCCATCCACGCACATTTATAATTTGTGTATCATGGAGCTGTCAAGGCAATAACCATCTGCTACTGCCAGAGGCTGGGAGTATGGCTGAGAGTTTTAAGCACTTGAAAAAGGCACAAAACTCCAGGTATTTTAGACTGGGCTTTTCAAGCTTGAGCTTTGCCTGAGAATAAAGTTTTTAGCAGATGAAGTAATAAGTTGACGGCAGCAAATGGGTTGCCTCAGATAATGGTGGTGCTGTTGAAAGGTTGTGCAAGTATCTGCTTGCAAAGGCCATGTACTCGCAAACTTATTTGCAGTCATTTGTTTCTATTCTTCATGTGCAGAAGATCTTGATTGGATAATTTCAGTGACTAGCAGCTGAAGCATGCCTTTAGTCCTTGTCTGTGGACTCTGGGGAACATGCCACTGTTATGATTCATATTGGGAGCATTTCATTTTTATCTGAAACAACTTCTGAGAATTTAAATTCAAAGGTTGACTTCTATGGAAATTAACATGTATCACTCCACACTTTCTAGACGAGTTCCAACTTCTTGTGATGACTAAAAAGAAGCTTCAGGATCTGCTTTCCTTATGTGTGGGTGTGCTTTTTATGACGGTAGCTTTCCCGTTTGTGCTACAGATATGAATTTTATTGATGTCATTTTGCTGTAATAAGAAATACAAAAGAAAGGTGAAATGTTTCCCCATCTTTCTGCTGTTCTCTTATGCTGCTTCTGTGGTGAAGTATTTGCCAGAAGCCATGAATTACAGTCATAACGTTGCCTTCAGAATTCCAGAACTTACCTGCCTTGCTTTGGAAGTCACGATGAAGTTAGTGTGCGCCCTCAGGAAATAGGCTTTTTTCCTTTTTTGTACAATGGTAGGATCATTTGAATTGGAAAGGACCCCTTGAAGACCATTTAGTCCAACTCCCCTGCAATGAACAGGGACACCTACAGCTCCGTGGTGCTCAGAGCCCCATGCAGCCGGACCTTGAGTGTCTCCAGGGATGGGGCACCTACCATCTCTCTGGAAAGAAGAGAGATGATAGATGAATAAACTAATGCTATTCTATCTACTCTGAATCACCCCTCTTGTAGTTTGAAGCAAATGCAGTTCTGGAGAGAGCTTAGGTAGCTGAAAATTAGTGTTTCATAGGGCACGAGGGTCACAGAATTTTTGCCATTTGAAATCGCAGTGTACTTCTCAGTGTATCTTCAGAGAGAGATATTTTCAATGTGCTTTTGTGTTTACTAAGTATGGTGCCAGAAAGTGCACATGCCCATGTGACTCCTGTACCTACTGTTTATCCTCTCAGATATTTTGAGTTATCTCAAGGCAGTGCCTATTCAGAGAGAGCTAATCGTTAGTGTACACATGCACTAATTGTTGGGTTTGATGCATTTTATCTAGCCATGTATATGACACCTTGCTGTTGGAAACTGTTAATATCATCAATACCATTCTTTTGCCCTTTGTAGGAAACAAGTACTTCTTAAAACAAATTCTTCCATGACTTCCTTTTATCCCATTTGCTATTAGCAAAACTGATGCAAAGTACCTGCCAAGTGAAAACAGTTTTTACTGCTCAAAATAATGCTCAATTGCAAGATTTGTTTTGAAAAGCTTTTTGTATCTGCTGTTCTTACAGATCAGGGAGACTGGGGAAAGACCCAGTAATGAGGAAATCCTGAGGTTCTCGAAACTATTTGAAGATGAGTTGACTCTGGACAATCTAACCAGGCCTCAGTTGGTGGCACTTTGTAAATTGCTGGAACTTCAGTCAATTGGGACAAATAACTTTCTCCGCTTCCAGCTGACGATGAGGTTGAGAAGTATAAAAGCAGACGACAAAGTGAGTCATTCTAGATATGTACTGGTTAATAATGTTCATGTGTAAGAAGAGAAAATCGTGTGTGTGTGTATACATCGTTTTTCTAGGCATTTTCCTCTCTTTAATTTGAGCTAACTTGCAACAAAAAGGCTTGGACTGCAGTGTAATATTTGCTGCTGTTTTATGAATAGTGGAGGCTGCTTTGTGTTACCACAGCAGCCTCTAGTGGCTATTCTAAAAATGCAGATTTCTGAGTGTGCACTGGTGGTTCTTCAGTTTTGAGCAGTTACGTATTGAAGTTTATTCTGCGTTTTGTGCAGATGATTGCTGAAGAAGGAGTTGATACCCTGACCGTTAAAGAACTGCAGGCAGCGTGTCGTGCACGAGGGATGAGAGCCCTTGGTGTGACAGAGGAGCGTCTCAAGGAACAGCTTAAACAGGTATGTTTTTGCAAGACTGTATACACAGACTTAATTGCTAACTATGATTTTTTGTTATCATTCGGATAAAAACATTTTGCTGCTCCTCTCATTAAAGACTTGGCTAAAATAGACTTCTTAATAAGCTTTTGTAATGTGTTCCCTGTAAGTACAGGATAGGGGTAGACTTGTGATTTTTAGCTGGGTCGTGATGTTTTCATGATGATGTTTAAACATATTCAAAATATGTTTTCACTTATGCCTCTTTGTCTTGTGAATTATTGCTATTAATCTGTAAAGTGTGTTTCTCCTGGTAAATCTTGGAGAAAAGAAAGCTTATCTTTTGGTTACCCGATTCAGAAGATGATGCATATGAAAAAAATATTCTCTTTTTCAGGTCTCTTTCTCAATGCAATCACTGTATTTCAATACTGTTACAGCCTGTAGTTCCTGTATTAGGATATTTATCAATAACTAGAGATTAAAAAAATTAGTGTTTGCACTTTTTTTGTATGCATGTGTTAATTTATAAGAAGAGAAAGACTTCCAAAAGCTGAAGGCTTGTGTTTTATGTATTTCGTTTGTAGTGGCTAGATCTGCACTTGAACCAGGAAATCCCTACTTCATTGCTCATTTTGTCCAGGGCCATGTATCTTCCAGACACACTTTCTCCAGCTGATCAGCTCAAAACAACACTTCAGACACTACCAGAGAGTGTTGTAAGTGTGATTTATACTATCTGTAACTAACTTGCAGTACAGTCACTGAAAATCTGTTTAGAACAGTAGATATTCTTGGTCTCTTTCCTTTCCTTGAAAAGCTTTAATAAATAAATAAATAAATAAATAAAAGAAAAAAAGGGGGGGTTGTGGAGGAGGTAGAAGTTTACATGGATGATGTTAAAACATAGAAATGGGCTGTGGATGGGTTTGATAAGGCAAATGAAAGGCAGCATTTTGTTGCACCAGGGAGAGAGTGGTAGTGTGGGAAGGTACAGCATGCACTTCTTACACCTAGTCATACCGTAGGCAATACAAAGGTGCTGAGGTGGAGTGTTTGTAGCCTCTCTACTGCTATGTTGGTTATGGTTAATGAGAGATGGATGTGAAGTTTTAAATTACTGTATGGATTTTTTTTTTCTTCTGAATATTGGTGGTTGTTCCAGATGAATTCAGTCTCACATAGGGGTGGGATTTCTCAGGCCATATTTAAGAACAAAGGGTGAAAGTGATTGCAATTTTCTGCTTCATGAAGAACAGAGGTGGAGATGTTCATAAGTGAGATTCTGTTATGGTTGAAATACTGCATTAACTTGGAAGTTTGTAAGGTTTTATGTTATGTCAAAAGAATGAGAATTCAGCTATTTCCTTAGGCTTTTTAGGGCAATGCTATCTTAAAATTTTTGGAAAGTTAAGTATGAGGCATGGCAGACTGGGATATCTCTCTTGACTTTACTAGTTTCCTTTTGGCACTAGAAACTATCATGGTTTGCTCAGTTGCTTGTATGAACTTGGCTTTGTCCAAAAATAGCATGTGGGTAGAATTACCTTATCTTCTTCACAAGACTTGCATTTTGTTTCACCCCATGTGTCCTTTTCTGAGTTATTTTCCAGTGTTACTGTTCAGACTTTTGGTTTGTGGAAAAAAGATATCTACTAAAATAAATCATTTCCACTAGTGGGATTTGTTTTTTTTAATGGGAGTTCTTTCTTTTCTATCATGATGGAAGGTAGTTATCACTTAAAAATAAATGTTAAAATTAGTTCTGTTCTGTTTCTTGTAATTCAGAATCAGAACATTTTTATGGGGTTTTCAAATACGTGGTCCTCCAATAAATATAAAAAAAAATTGTAAACTAAAGAACTGTTTTTCTTCGTTCACCTTATTTATGAAAACTCTATTCAGTGTTAAAATTAAACTCAGCTAGCAGTTAAAAATGGGTGCACAATTGTTTACCTTTAGATCTCTTCAAGACTGATTTTTTTCTCTGATAGAGTTTTCAGAATGTTCCAGTCTGAGTGAACATACTGAATTTTCATTTATGCAGATTCCTATTCTACTGTATAACGTCCAACTAAGAATTCTGTGCATCTCTGTACATTTAACATACTAATTTAGTTCCTCAGCATAGAGGCCATAAACCAAACTTACATAGCATGTAGACAGAATTAGTAACTGCAGATTAGAAATGGCAAAAGCGAAACTTGTAATCCAGACAAGTTCAAGAAATACATTTAATTCAGTGTTTTATGATGAGTATGTCAATGTTTGGTAGAGAGAGACTATTTGAAAAAAATGTATTTGTGCTCTTGAGAGAATAAACAATAGATCATATTTTCAGAATGGAAAATTCTTATTTACAAAGAGAATTTTTTTCTGAAAAATGGAAAAAAGACAACTTTTTGCAATTCCAGCTGTATTCATTAGCATTCCTATACTACCTGTCTCAACGGTATTTGAACTTTTTTGCATTATATCAACACACAGAGATTTTTATATATTTCTTGCATTACTTTTAGGCCAAAGAGGCTCAAGTCAAAGTGGCAGAAGTTGAAGGTGAAAAAGTAGATAACAAAGCACGACTGGAGGCAACGCTTCAGGAGGAAGAAGCCATCAGAAAAGAAAATGAGGAAAAAGAGATGGAAAGAATATCTGAAGCTGCAGAGAAAGCCAAAGAAACTCTTCAGGTTGCAGCTGTGGTAAGTTCTGTTCTCAGCTACTGAGAAATAAATGTTAGCAGTGTAAAATTAGCATGTTACGAGTGATTGTCTCTGTTTTGGGTGTTGCCTGCAAGAAACCAGACTTTAAATCCACGTATGGAAAACGTGGAAAGATATTAAAACAGGATGCAGCATAGGAGGATTCAGTGTGAAACCTCAAATGCTGCCTCTTACGTATCTCTGATTCTTCTTAATCAGAGTCATAAGAGGAAACATTCAACTACCAAGAGAGTAAGAGGTTTGTGTTTGCTTTTTTTTTTTTTTTTTTTTTTTTAAGTTTTTGGCTGGTTTTCTCGTTGAATTTTTCCTTAGTATAAATTGTGATTGTTCTTACCTTTTGGCTCTTTTTTTATTTTTTTTTTTTTTCCTTCATTAGTCAGGTAGTGTCATTGGTATAATGCTTGAGCATAAAAACTGCTGGCCTCGCTTGATGCATGCCTTAAGCCTTCTGTGCTCACAGGCATGGTCCATTAGGTGCATGTTGGTATGAAACCACTCCGTATGTTGAAAGTTTTTAATGTTACAAAAATGTCTGCATCTCCTTAAGCAATTACTTGTATTTTAAGAAACCATTCTTTACTGGTGCTAATAAAGATAGAATTCTATCTTTGTTTTAATTGAACTTCTTGGGTCTGTCAAATTTAGAAAGAAGTGGAGTTGGCAGTAGATCTTGAACCAGCTGTTCTGCAAGTTAAAGAAAGTCAGGTGGCTATGGACAGCAAGCAAGAGCTGGCAAAAGCAGATACGGAAACGTTGAAAGATACAGCACCCATACTGGAAGGCATTAAGGTAATATGACTGCAAATTCTTAATCATCATCATAAAAAATTCAGCGTCTTCTTTGTCTCTGTCACTGAAACTAATGTGCTTATTTTGTGGGGCATTTCCACTGACTGTAGACATGATGGGTCTATGGATGTTTGTATTTAACATGAGGAAGGTGTGGGCATGAGTAGGTGAATGTGAGTGGCTTTTTTCCTTTTAAAGGATACAGATAAGACTAAAGCATTAAACAAGGAACTAGACTTTCCAAAGTCTGTACTAGATCTACACTGAGTTCTTTTAAACAGATGTATGTACTGTATGTACACTATAAAAATGTTTTTAGTATACCTTCCTGCCATTTCTTTAATATGTTGGTCAACATGGCTTAACGTGTTTCAGCTGTACCATCACAGAGGCCATTAATTAAAGTGTTGAACAGTGTACCTCAATGTTTTACAGGATACATCAATATTGTACTGTCTCCTATTTTTCCTGGGCAGCATCATTATCTGTTATTAGCATAACATTATTTGTTTAATAAGCAGGTTCTAATGGTAGCAGCATAATAATCTGAGGAGTACTGAAAGATTGTTCAAGGTTGAATAATTAGGGGAACTAAACGTTTTGCTTCAGGCTTTTTTTTTCACATTAATGTGCCATGTTGTCTGTTACAAGAGGGGAGGGGGCGAATATTAAACTATTGACGACTTGAAATTGTTTAATTTTATTTGTGGCAGAGGAATTTTTCAAACAGCTACTTTCTGGTTGTTGTTTTTTGGGGTTGAGGGTTTTTGTTGTTTTGCACTTAAAATCAGAAATGAGGTTGATATTTGTATAGATAGCAGTATAGTGAAACTGTTGTTGAAAGGACTGTATGTACTTTGTGAAGTTCTGTGTTTTTTTCTTGGAAGTATATCATCCTTCTGTTTGTTTACATGTGTCTTTCTGTACTGTGCTTATACATCTGTTCAGAGCTCTTTCCTTCAGAACAAAAGCTGATGTCTGGGTAGGATTTATGTAATACACTAGCTGGATCTGCTGTCATAGGATTTTATAATTTTTAATGAGTCATTCTTGAAATTGTATTTTTTATGTAATCTGTTGGGGGTTCAATTTTATTCTCAGCATTTCAAGAGGCATATAGGCTTTGTAAACTTTGAATGTTCATCTGTATAATTAGAAAAGATACTGAAGATTTCGTTTCAGCTCAACATCCTGAACTTTGCTCTGCAAAATCTTGTGTGATGAGTATTTCCTGTATATGATGCCTGAGTCATTTCTCAGTTATTCAGGTTTTCCATTCAGTACAGAAGGAGGTAAAACCTTTCTTTCTTTAATGAGACAACTATGTGTAGGATTTCAAATAGCCAAAACCCTTGTAATGAATCACAGTACCTGAACTAGATACTAGTGTGCTTAAACAGTACTGTGGCAAGCTAATTCTCAGTATTTATGATCTCTGTGTGAGGTTCAGAATGCCAGTCTATACTGTGTTGGCTCTGAACATGGATGAAGAACCTGAAGTGTGTCCTTCCTATCTTGTGAATTTATTTTATTTTATTAGGAAAATCACACACATGTCTCTCACTCATTTGTATTTTCTGTTACAGGGTGAGGAAATAACTAAGGAGGAGATTGACATGCTGAGTGATGCTTGTAACAAGCTGCAGGAACAGAAGAAATCGCTAACAAAGGAAAAGGAGGAGCTTGAGGAACTGAAGGGTGACATCCAGGAATATAACGAGGTGAGATTGCTTAAAAAACAAAATAGTAATAATAATAATAAAATCTGTTCTTGTTCAGTTTTAGAATAAATGACCTACATAGTTAAAGATTATCTTACTTGGATGTCTGTTAGCTTGTATTTGCTAGCTGAGTTTTATACTGCTTTAGAGGACAGTGCAGAGCTTTAGGCTTTAAACACATTAAACAAGTAGTTAAAATCATTGGAGTTGTTCCCTCCAGAAGAGAGTGCTGTTCCTACTCTTATTCCCTGTGTGACCAGAGTAATAGGTGCTAAACGTGCTGCAGTTCTTTCTTATCAAACGTAGTGTCAGTATTTTAGATTCCTTAGGTTAACTGGGATTGTATTCAGTCTCTCAAAGGTTGTGTCTGGGTGCTGGAATGGGCTGCCCAGGAAGGTGGTAAGGGAACGTTTAGACACTGAGCTGAGGAACATGGTTTAGTGAGAGCTGTTGGTGATCGGTGGATGGTTGGACTGGATGATCTTGTAGGATTTTTCCAATCCCTGGTGATTCTATGACTGTGGCAAATACCATTGAAAGAATTTATGAAAATGGCTACAGTGTTAAGAGTTGGTTCTGATTTCATTTTGACTTTGTGTATCATCATTTAGATTTTATTTACAAGGGGCCCCTGTCTTGAAATACTCATCTCTAGACTGCAGTGTCATTAAGAATTCAGACATGCAAAAAGTTTTTCTTCCTGACCATTTCTTTTAGGATTTGCAAGAAATAAAGGAGCTTTCTAAAGCTGGCCAGGAAGAAGTAGTGGAAGAATCAAAGGCGAGCAAGCGACTGACCAAAAGAGTGAACCGGATGATTGGTCAGATAGACAAAATTATTAATGAGTTAGAGACCAATCAAAAGACAGTGGATGTAAAGCTTGATAGAGGTGATAGTCCTCCTGCTGCTGGGTAAGTGACTGGAGAGCACTGAATGTTCTTTCTGAAGTATGTCAAATATGGTTGAAATAAGGGTGGAAAGGCAACATGTATAAATTCCTTCGATGCTAGCCTAATCGTATGTTTGACACCCTGACTTTCAGAACCCCATCTTTTTCATGCATGTAGGCCTCATGATGATGCGAGTGAAATCACACCTTCAGTAATGCTACTCAGGCAATGTGTGCCTTGTGTCATTAATGTAAACAGTATGCAACAGTTGTGAGCATATTTTTGTTTGTTCTGCTTCAGTAGTGAAAGTGTTGGGGGGAAAAAAAATGGCAATAAAATCCATTTTGTCAGGTGTAAGGAGGTAACTCTTTGGAGAGAAATGTGAGGACACTTACAGGAAATGGAGGTAGTTTTACATGGCTCCTTTCTGAAGACTTAATTACAATAAAAAACTTAAATGAAATCTAACAATTTTCATTTCAGATTACTTTATGAAGACCTGTAGAAGTGTTGAGGTTACTGGAGGGTCTTTCTTCCAAGTCATGTGTTTCACACTCATATGTTATTTGTTATGAGTACTGAGATGCAGATAATCTGTGACAGAATCTTTCAATCTGTGTTTGTAAATGCAGTATTCATCTACTTTGTTTGCTTCTCAGCTTCCAAAAAACATAACCCAAACAAAAATAAGGATTTTGTTTCAGTTCCATCCAGACTGTTTTCTTCCAGTCCCCAGGGGAAGCAGTCATTCGTTTCAGATTTTGCATAAGATTGAGGAGGCCGTGTGAAAGGTGCTACAGGGAGTTGTTAATCAAAACCATCCTAATTTGTAAATTAAAAATAAAATATAGCAACTGTTTGTACTAAATGTCATTGTACTTAATGTAATGAATGTCTCTGGGAGAAAAACTCTAAATTGGTAGCAGTTCTGGGCAACCTGATCTTAGTGAGTGGCAACGCTGTCCATGGCTGGGGTTTGGAGCTAGGTGATCTTCAAGGTCACTTCCATCCCAAGCCATTCAATGATTTTTGTAACTGAAAATGATTAACTTAAACATTGCTTAGTTGTAAATGCTTTTTTGCATTCTGTTCAGGATTATTTAATGTTTTACAAGTTACCTGCAACGTAGTGACTTTCAATGCTTATCTTTTGTGACTTTTACTCCTTTGGAGTAACTGTTTGTCATATACAGATTGTGCTTCCTCTTTAGGGAGAATCTCATCAGTATTGCTGAGTTAATTAATGCAATGAAACAAATCCAGAAGATTCCAGAGGAGAAACTAACGAGGATTGCAGAGGCATTAGATGAAAACAAAGATGGCAAAATTGATATAGATAATGTTGTTAAGGTAAGTCTGTGGACTATTTGAGGAAAATAAGCTTAGGAATTCAGGAATTCAGATGTTGTGCCTATGACAGTCTTGACTTAAATTCACATTAATGTTTTTTTTGCAAGAATTGCAAAAGAACTTGATGCTGCCTACTTACAGTACACTTCCGAAAACTTCACTGGCATCAAGGAAGGATGCTTGTCATCTTTACAATTTGTGCCACTGTTTCAGAGGGGGATGATGATTCTTATCCTATGTCTGTTACCTGCATTAGCTTTAAAGCTGTAGGTTTTACTTGCATCTGTAAAAGTGTATGTGTGTATGACAAACATTATATATAAAAAACATTTGTGTGTATATATTGTATATATTTACACATGATATAGGGTAATTTTGTTATGCTACTTAAGAATGGAAGGGAGGATGGAAAGAAGTTTTGAATACTTTATGTATTAAGACTTCAGTAATACCACAGATGTATACCTTAAATATTTGATTATGACTTATTTCCTATGGTTGAAAGACATCAGACCATTGTTTTACTCCTTAGATTCATTGTAAATTACTGAAATCAGATCATGTATGTTTTAGTTACCAGCTGATAGATAATTTGGCCATTTTGTCCATTTCTGCTCCTTTTGAAGTAATGTCTTAATGCTTTCGAGAGGCATTTTATACTTGGTGACTATTGAATTCCTTATCTGAAAGTAGAGTATCACACATCTCTTTTTCACCTTTTTCTCTTTATCCATTTTTCTCATTTTGCAGTTTTCTCAGGTTGTCTCCTGCGTTCTCCTTTTGTTTTCTTGTTTCTTTTCTATTTTAGAGATGTCTTGAAACTTATTTCCTTGCAAGTAACTTTCCTACTCGATACAGAAATACTTTTTAGAGGTAGAACAGTATGGCCAGCTAAAAAATATAGTAATCAACCCTTTGAAACTCTTTTCCACGTACTGAAGTTGTCCAGTGATGACGGCCTCCACTGTTGGTCTGAACAACTGTTGCATTGACTTACATTTAGCAACACAGGAAAAATGAACTTCCTGAGTTATAATAATGAACAATTTTGAGAACATGAGCTATGTCAAGAACTGTTTTGTACAAGAAACTTTATAAAGGCATTTGGAAACTCCTGCTAATTTTTTTTTCACTTGGCTTTCCAAAAGACCCACCCCCGTGCTTCATTTTTTGTAAATGTCTGCCTTTTTAGTAGGCCTCCTCAATAAAGTGACGCATATGAAATAGATTCTATCTAAATAACATTTCAGAAATATTAGATACTGAAATGGAGCTTTCTGTTGAAACGGATATAATAAGGGACATGTCTCACTAATGTTCTAAAATATGGCTTCGGTGCTAAAGCTTTTGAATATTCCAAGTACGAGGCACTGGTTGTGATTTGAAATTAATTTCATGTTGGTAAAAAAAAACAACCAACTCTTGAATGTGAGAGAACTTTTTTTCTTAACAATTTAAGATATGAAAATGTCTTGTTATAAAAACGTTATTCTGAATTTCACTCACTCTTTGTGTAGGTAGTAGAATTGATAGACAAAGAAGATGTTGATATTGGCACCAGCCAGGTTGCTGAGATTATGGCACTGCTTCAAAAAGAAGAAAAACTGGAAGAAAAGGAGAAGGCAAAGGAAAAGCATGATAAAGAAGCTGCAGAAGTAAAGAATTAAGCTTCAGAATCTGAAGCAAAGCCCAACTGTAACCAAAATTGTATATCTTTGTGTCTAATGGCTACATATTACTGGAGCTTTTGTGATTATGGAAAGTGTTTTGAGCTGATACTAGTAATAAATTATAGATACGTTTTCTGACATATGGAATGAAATTTTTGTTCATCAAAGAAGTGATTTATTGTCATTCCATACAGATGAAAACAAAATATGCTGCTTCAGCAGTGTTCCTGCCCATGAAATCATGTTGTATTTGCACTCGTTGTGGTACAGTGATCCAAAATATTTCTAATTTATTTACTTCCATCGTTACGTGGGGCCCAACCTTGCTCTGCTTCTACCTTCTAGCTTTTGCAGAATTTAATACAAATTTTCCCTTCTGTCCCAGTATCACTTTTTTTTTTTGTAACCTGTTAGTGAAGATTCTGTGGCTTCAGTAGTAGCTCTTCAGGTTGAGCTTTATTTAAGCTGAATATCACCAAGCCGTTGCCTCAGTGACAGAGAATGTGACATTCTAATCACTTACAAATTTGTTTTCTTTTCTTTTGAAGGGAAAATAGGATTAGTTTTTCCCTAGAACTGAAACTTCCCATGAAGTTTGCTTCTTACGGGTGCCTTAAATTAAGATCAGGGAGTAGAACATCTCACTTCTACTCAGAGTTCCATGAATTACTAAAGCATTGGAATCACAGGAGCCTTTCAAGTAGTTCCAGAACAGATAATGTATTTGTCTAAACAGCAAAATGAAATTAACTGTAAGGGGAAAATGTCAGTTGTGATCTCGTCACATATATTTTTTTAAGAAATGCAGTTATGGAGGCATGTTTGTTGTTATTCATGTGGCAGTTATTTACTCCATAACTAGTTCTTACCTCTCAGTTGTCATCTCAGGTGTAACATCTCTAACCAAGTAATTCAGAGTACTTAAATGCTTTCATCTGACCATGCAGTCAGCAAGTGATGTCTGAAATTGGCAGTGTTTTGATTACAATTTTGGCTTTCTAATTAATTGATTGAGTCTTTTGACTCGGGTCAAAGTTTACTTATTAATGTCTGTCCTTAGTGGTTATTTTTTAAGATTTAAAATTAATATGCCACCTGTAGGATGTTCATAATTCCTGATAGCCTGAATTTCCCTGATTCTTACAGTTTGTGATAAAATACAAGAGGTGTGACTTGACCCCACAGTTTTATTGTTTGTTTTTTTTTCCATTTTGCATCCAGTTAAATTACATTAACATTCTTGATCTTGTGTACATTGTAGAAAACACATCTTATGGTTATGCTGTTCACAGCAATATTGAGGAGGGCAGTTTGTAATTAGTGCTTTTGATAGCGGTTGTGTATTTTCATAGAAAGTATTGACTCCCAGGTGTATTTCAGCATAACTCTACATATAGTATTTATCTAGTTTGGCTAAATTATTTGTAAAAATGCATTTGAAGTTGGTGGAACAAAAAATATTTGGACAGTCTCAGGGCCTTGCATAGTCATGGAATCATAGAATGGCTTGAGTTGGAAGGGACCTCAGACCATCCAGTTCCAACCTCCTGCCGTGGACTCTTCGTCCCCCACCAGATCAGGCTGGCCAATACCCCATCCAACCTCTGGCCTTGAACGGAGTTTGCTTTGGATTTGGCAATAATTCCTTAATGGTATTGTAAAATCCAGAGTAGCAGACTATTTTAGACAAGTAGAAGACTTGGTACGCAGTGACTTCCTGTACTGAAATGCCAAACATTTGGTACAGTTCAGGAAGTCCATCTGCTGTGGCAGTTTCAACAGTACAGTCACCAAGTCCCTGGAGCTGTTGCTCAGCAGCATCTTTCACATGACTGCCGGTAACAAAGTTTGCTCAAAGTCTAATGGATGTTCTAAACACTGGGATGTTACTCTTGTGGCTGTAGCAGAAGCCAGGTTTGACAAAAACTTTATCCAGTGCTGTTTATCCACTTTGGACATGAGAATTCCATTTCTTTAAAAGCAACATTTAGGTGCCTGTATTTGAAAATACTGAATAACATATGACAAATGGCCATGCCAGAAGCTGAAAAATCCTTGCTCCCTGAAGACGCACAAAAAGCAGTGGATTTGTGCCCTTGCACTGCTGATCTACCTGGGTCTGTTTGGACAAGGCAGTAGCAACTCCATCTGCTCCATGGGCACCATGGCCATCTTGGAGATAATGGACCATTGTATTTAGTTATTTCCAAAACAGGATGTACAGTAGTATGTATAATACAACTCTAGAGAGCAGGGTCAGTGTTTAAATGTCTTAGATTAATATTCTGTACATTTTGGAAGGTTGCTTACAGTAAGTGATGTGACTGATCTTCCTAAGAATTACTGTAATTATAGAATCATAGAATAGTTTGAGTTGGAAGGGACCTTTAGAGGCTGTCTTATCCAACTCCTCTACACTGATCAGAAACAGCTACAGCTTGACCAGGTGCTCAGAGCCCCGTCCAGCCTGATCTTGAGTGTCTCTGGGGATGGGGTATCCACCATCTCTCTGGGCAGCCTTTGCCAGTGCTTCACTCCCTTTGTGGGAAAAAAAAAAGTGCCACATTTTCTTCAATCTAAACCTCTCCTCTTTTAGTTTGAAGCCACTTCCCTTTGTCCTGTCACAACAGATCCTAATAGTTTGTCCCCTTCTTACTGCCCTCATTTAGATAATGTAAGTGCTGCTATCAGATGTCCCTGGAGCCTCTCCAAGCTGAAGAGTCCCAGCTCACTCTGTTGTCTCTTAGGGGAGGTGTTCCATCCCTTGAAACATCATTATTTTGTGTAAAATTGCTTTGACAAAGCTGACATTTCAATCTGATACAAGCTTTTCAATTAATGTACCCCTAAACAAACAAGGTATTCTATTTCTTATAAAATGGCATTTACTTGGAGATTTCAACGTGAAAGGTAGTTTGTGAATTTTGAAGATTGCATTTCACTAGGTGCAATTTTTCGTGGCTGAAAACCCATGAAGAAAATTAATGTCACAATACAGTTTTAAAACTTCTAAATTCTGTAAGTCAACAAACTGGAATTAATGAACTTTGAAATACACTAAATTTTCCATTTGCATATTTTCCATTTCCAAGCAGCATGTAACAATCTTACTTAACATTCCTGAAATGTCATCAAGTTATTCTGACTAGAATGGTCTGCTAGCTTTCATGCGGTAGCAAATGCTGAAGAATGGTGTGGACTTGAATGCACACCAGTTTATACAGAGAAGTAGCAGAACAAGCTGTTTTCAAAGCTTTACGAATTCAAGTTTCATGCAGCTTTAATTCACCTGACATCTTATCTGAATGCAGTGTTTCAGGAGCTTAGGAGGCCTGGTTGCTTGTCTTGTCTTGTGTTTGCCGTTCACTTAAATTTTTTGTGGATTAAATAAGGAGGGAGCCATAAGTAGCCAATTCTTTTGTAAAGAATGTACAGGTTAAAATAATTGCAGTATGCTTATTGAACATTTTTAGCTTTTGGACTGGTTTGAAATTTGGCATGCTGTGAAATTTTAATTGTTCACAGAATATCCATTTAAATGCACTGTTTTCAGAAACTAAAGTCAGTTTTCCCGTTACTTAAAGGGTTGAAGTGATGTGCACATCAATCATAGTGAGGCATTTTGCAGGCAATCTCTCTGATGTTGCAAGTAGGCAAACCCAATGACATCAAGACTTTTGCAAGCTTAAAAAGCTTAGGAAGCCCTTGGTGACTGATGCTTACCTGGTTTTGAACCTTAACAAACAGCTCTGTACGGGTGAGTCAGGCAATGTGAGCATGTCGGTGGCTGGTGGACTGGCTTCAGGTAACCTGCTTTGTCTTTCATGTTGACCAAAAACCCACAGTAGCCACAGTACTTTCAGAGAAAGGATGACTTCCAAGTGTACAGTAACTGGTCAGAACTTATTCCTGAATGAATATTTAGTCAGGAGATGTAAATATTTGTTTAAATAATTAAAAGATGTATGAGATTTGTGTGACGTTGTGACTTACACGGGCAAAGCCTCTAAGCTCAGAGTTGGGTTATCAGTAAAGCCGTTGTTGGAGTTGTTTGAGATTCTGTGGGGTCAAAGTTTGATTAAAATCTACCCAAAGGGGGAAACTAAAAAATAATTTAAAAATAATATGAAAAGCTTAAAACAGCAGTGGGAGGGAAGTAAAGTATGATTTCTTCCCCATCAAAACAGGTTATAGGACCCATTGTATTGAAGTGTTTATTTCCAACTTATAAGATGGTTTTTACTGCGATTTGAGTAAGTCTGCCTGCAAGTTAAGTACCAGAAAACCAATTTAATAGGTGGTTTGTCAGCAGGACTGCATGCAGATTGAGAATGCTCTCTTGACAAGATGGTGTATTGCACTATAGGCTTTGTCTGGGAGAAGAAGCTGTACCTTTTATACAACTCCAAAATACTTCTTGAACTTTTTATCTGCATATCTTGCTCATCATTTGAACTCTAGCTTCTTCAGCATGTATTTAAATCCTTTCAAATTGTTTATATGAAATTATTGGGTATATTTAATTAAAAGAATGATCCAATATTCTGTTATTCTGTATGTATTCAAACGTTTACTTTTTGGTTTAAGAATTTCAGCCCATGTTAAAAATTGTCTGTGCTCTGAGCATACTGGTCCTGTGTTTGCCATAATGCAATATATGATTTTTAAGTTAATTGGAGCTTGTATCCTTTGTTTAGTTTTAATAAATGTATCATTTTGAAGCCTGCTCTGTCCATTACTTTTTTTTTCCCTGTTGCTTTTCATTGTTCAGTATTGACTGTTGCCCACATGAGATGGTCAGTGACGACCTGAGTATTGTAACTAAAATGTTTGGGATGGAAGAGGGCACGTAAGAGGTGGGATATATTTATATGTTCCTCTGTAATCTTAATGTTCTTCACAGAGTTCACTTCAGCCTGTGGCAAATTTCTGAGCATATCTGACATCTGACAGCTGTTTGTGATTTATGTTTACCTCTTCCTGCAGCTTTGGCAGCGTGGGTGAGAAGGGAGATGGAGCCCAAGTCAGCAAGGTGTTCCAGCGCACACGTGGTCCCTTGGAAACAAAGGTGCTTTCAGCCATAATTTGTATTGCAGTCCTTCTTGGAAAAGTTTCAGTGCTTGTCCCAGCTGTGCTCAGTGCTTAAAGAAGTGCAGAGCTTAGATGCTCCAGGCCCTGAAGATGGGGAAGTGCTGGTGCAGAAGCCTGTGCTGTAGGCAGTCTCCTGGCTTCTTTCAAACAAGATTGGGAATATGCAAACATGTGGATCTGCTTCTAGTGTCAATGCATTTCCGCAGATGGCTGGAAACAACTTCCTATCTTGAGACCTACTGGATGGGTGAGGGTTGGTTGCAGATTTTTGCTTTTTCTGCTTAAAGCCAAATGTCATGGAAAAGAAGCAAGTTCTGCCACTTTTTAAGCTTTGCTTTAAAATTTCCTTTAATGATAGGCTTATTTAGGGTGAATGGGATTTTGTGCATCTGCGTAGTAAACCAGACAGTGAAGAAACTGTGGCTTTGAGCTTGTAAGCTGAATCTGCATGTCAACAAGTTCACCTGATCATAGGTGGCCTGAGCCCCCTGGGCAGACCGCATCCGGTGTGCACTGAGATGCATTGGTTATATGAAAAAGTTTTAATTAAGTATCCCTTCTGATAGATGATAATTATCCATTTCCCTGCTCTAGGGAACCTGCTTTAGCAGGAGTTGTACTATGAGATCTCCAGAAGTCCCCTCCAACCCTTACAATTCAGCGATTCTGTAATTACAGATGAAAAGTTAAACGTTGTGCACAGAAAGGGAATTATAACTAACTTTGCTAATTAGAAGTAACAAAGATACTGCTTCACTGATGGAAGCCTCTCCTACATCAGACTGGTGATGGAGGGGTGTAGAAAAGTGGCAGGAAAAACTTCTGACTTCATGAAGTCAAGGTCTTAACATGTTAATATAGGACTTCTATTGCACATTGTCTGGTGAAAGTCATTTAATGTTGAATACAAATGCATAGTTAGATGGTTGTGTGGTTGTTTCAGTGACTCAAGGCTTGAGAAATGTGTGCTGAGTTACTGCCCGTCCTTCCAGTAACACCTCACGAGGCTCTTGTGTCACAGTTACACACAACTATTTTGCCACTGGCTGGATAGTACCTGCTTCAGGGCAGTATCTCCTCCTAAGGACCTGTTACAGTATTTTGTGCTAAGGTCTTCAAATGCTGAACTAGAACAGTGGCAGCCTATTACACTAAATAGTCTCCCTGGCCAAGGGACCTTGCTTTTCTCGTCGCTTGTATATTGAAAAGCGTTTCTGGTATTTTCCTGAATTATTTCTCAACTCTGATGTGAACAGGAGGATGTTTGTAGTATGTTTCTAATTCCCTGTACTCTGTGCTCACTTCCATTTTGTGTATTACTGGATATAAATCTTTCTCAGTAGTTAAATACCCTTCACAGGTCAAAATTCTTTGGGGGCTCATTAGCATGTACAGTTTTACATGTGCCAAACCCTCTGTGGTTTTCAAACATCGGTTTCTCTCATCTAACTGGCGTAAAAGATTTCTGCTATGCAAGAGATGGATCTAATTCAGATTTGCCTCTTTCCGTCTAGTATTTCTCCGTATGTATATTGGCAGAGCTGGCCCCTTCATGAATGGCCTGATTTATGGCTCAGTGAGTGCTGCAGCCAGCAGTTCAAGATGTCAAATCTCCTGTGCGTGCTGGGAGCGGCTGTGGATTCTCCCTCCCCTTCTTTATGTCTTGGCTCTGTCGTGAGAGCGAGCAAAGAAGCTTCCTCCTCATTTTCTAACCATGTTTTCAGAACCTTGGTTAAGCAAGGTCTTCAGAACCTGCCCCAGAACCACGGAGAGCTTCTGTGAAGAGCTGGAAATGAGCAAAAACAATGTATATATACACACACACATATATATATACACACATATATAAAAGGATCATAAGAGTCTGACCAAATCAAGGTGAGAATTAACAGCCTTTTATGCAGAAAACTTTTGAATCCCTGCAGCTCACTTCAGACCTGAAAATGTAAGATTTTTTTTTTCCCCTAGCTTCAATATGCCCTTATACAACTAAACAACTCAGCGTGTTTTTATTCTCTCTCCTCCCTACACCCCAGCTTTCCCTTCTCTCTATTGCTTAGTCAATATGCAGCACTTGGTAGGAAGATTTATGGAGCTCTTGCAGCACTTCAGCTTCCTAGTTCCTAGCTTTGTGCTGGTGGAAGCAGACTTGAAATATAGTGACCGTTAATCTTTCCAGTCATTTCTGCTCACTGGATGGATTTTGGTGCTAGATCTGTGCAAATTCAGTGCTTCACCAGCAGCCTTCATTAAGCTCCACATTGACTTTCTTTCAATGCAATGATGGCAGTGGGCAATGATGAGAGCCCAGGAGAGAAAAATGGTTTTATCACTGAACTATAGAGTCATTAAGGTTGGAAAAGATTACTAAGACCATCAGCCAGTGCCCACTAAAGCATTTTCCAGCAGAGTCATCCTTTCTTTCAAGTCCCATATGCTTATATCACAGCGAGCTGCATGTGTCCCATCATAAGCCACGATGTACAAGGGAGAAATTATACTCTTAGCCTTCATCTTCAAAAGCCAGAGTGACATGGAGAGGGGAAGCACACGCATCCGTGTTTTTAGACTGACTTGCAGCCAAATACATCCAAAAAAGAGGAGCGCTGTGGTCTGTCAGTGACGCAGTACGGTTTCTTTTGAGGATTACATAAACCACTCGAGTCACCCTTTTTATCAAGAAAATTCTTTGTACCCATTCTGCAAATAAGATCCTTTTGGCTCTCTAGGATTTGGATCTGCGAGCTCAAGAATTAACTGATATCAATCCAAAAAACCTCTTGAAATAAACAGCAGGGGGAAAGCATTAGCACAAAACCTCAGCTACCTTTTGTGTGCCAAGCGCTTTGTGGTTGAGATCTCTGGCACAGCAGATGGACCATCGAGCCGTTGCTCTTACGGAATATCTCTGTCCTCACCCCAGGTCTCCGTCCCAGGGACAACCTCCCCAGCAGACGTGTCACCGACCCTCCGACCGCATCTCGCCGGCGGAGCGGGGACGGAGCTGCAGCTGCGGGGTCCGGTCGCTGGGTGGCGGCATGGGACTGCCCGGAGACGGGATGGGATGGAACGGGATGGGATGGGATGGGATGGGATGGGATGGGATGTGACAGGATGAGTTGGAACGGGATGGGATAGGATGGTTCAGGACGACATGGGACGTGAGGATGAGCTGGGGCAGGACGGGTCAGGATCACAGTAGGTCATGGCTGCTCAGTGCTCTTCCCCTCTCCCACTGTATACCTGATGCTTTGTGTCTGGTTCACATGAAATTTCTGTATGTTTACCTCAATGTTGTAAGTCCACTGTCTCCAATTTAAAGTGCTGCTCTGACCATGTCCCTCCCCACACAGACATGACTTCTCTCATGAGATCCCATGACTTTCTGCACCCTCTGTTTATGCGCAGCACCTTATCTTGCACTCACAAGCTCAGCTCCCTGGGTCACTTGTCCTCCTCCCTTCCCCTGAGTCCACATATGGCTGCTGCAGCTCTCCCATCCCAAGCCAGGTCCCACATTTCTTACTCTTCTCCTTTTGTCAGCATGACAGCAACTTGCTTGCAAACATTTGGTGATTGGTCTTTCCAAAATTAATCCCTGTTTGAAATAGAACAATTTCTAAGTAATTCTCCAAATCTCCTGTTTAAAAATTGACAGTGAAAGAGAATCCACCACAATCCCTTGGTGAGCCCTTGTACTGGTTTATTGCTATCACTCTGTGGCTTGTGGGAGTTTTCTTGCGGAGGAAGAGAGAGAGGAAAAAGAAATTAATTCCTCACCCTTGGAAAATCAAATAACAAATAGCTAAACTGTTTCTAGTGAATTTGTCTCACACCAATTTCTATTCATTTGGCTTCAATTTGCTTGGTGGAAAAGCCCCTGAAAAGGTTTTCTTTGTCAGACTACTTATGGCACGCAGTAATGTCAAACTTTGAAGCTGCACAGCTTCTCCAGAAGTGTCCTGACATCTTCATCAGCTGTCTGTGTGTGTCCTGCCCTACCCCGAGCTCTTCCCTGTGCATTGGTGATATGCTGTGTTTGAATCATAGAAGGGTGTGGTTTAGAAGAAACCTCAAACCCAACCAGCTCCAACCCTCAGCCATGGGCTGGTTGTCCCCCACCAGATCAGGCTGCCCAGCGCCCCAGCAAACTCAGCCTTGAGCATCTCCAAGGATGGGACACTCACAGCTCTCTGGGCAGCCTGTGTATGCACTTTACATGGACTTTTTCCCCAGTATAGGACTTTGTTTTTGGTGTTTTACGACTTTGTCCCCATCAGGCTTCCCCAGCCCACTTTGTTCCTGTCCTGTAAGCTCCACACTGGGGGATAAGAGTGTGTAGGGAAGTTAGCAACAAAAACAAGAAGGTCAAAAGCACCGAGTGGAGCAGTTAAGTCTCACTTGCCAAATGCATGGGGTTATTCAGGGTAAAACCAGCATCATGGCAGGCATGGAACTGATGACAATTTATGCAATTGTTATAAAGTGAACAAACTACAATGTGTTGTTATAGAAGGTCTGAAAAAATAAATTAATAGACTGTTGGTTCAAATATGAAAGCGCTAAACTCATCGACCACGATGTGCTCTAAAAATAGAGGCTTGAGCCTCTGCATCAAAAACATAATGTT